TTTTCTGTGTATTCTTGTAGTGGTTGAACTCTGTAATCTTCGATTGCCTATTTTTGGGATTTTAGTGCAATCGAGCAATATCCATTTTCGATTGGATACTCAACAGGGGATTAGGTGCTTAGTCACTGAACCTCTGGGGTTTCGGCTGAAAAATCTTATTGTATTCTTTATTTTCTGCAAGTTTAAAAATCTTATTGTATTCTTTATTTTCTGCAAGTTTAACTTCTATTATTTTGATCGATTGAATCTTGCAACTTATTTTGTGGGTTTTTGGCCCCCCTTCATAGGCCAATATTTTTTACTCCCTTTACTTAATGCTTTTTCGAGTAAATTAATGTAATTACCTTCTATAAATTTACAAGAATTTTAAGGAACCCAGTGTAGAAAAATAGAGTGATGACTTTAAAAACAAAGATCAAACTTACCACCCTTACCTTGAATCACACAGAGCTACAAGAAGGAAATGATTCATAAAAGATCAAAAGAATAAAACACCGCTAAAGACAATGTAAAGTGAAACAGGTGCAAAAGTCAAGGTAAGAGTTGAACTATTTGTCTTTTAAGTCGATTTTGTCTCGTAGCGGTGCCTACAGATGATGGCAATAAACTCTCAAAATGCAACAACTATCGGAATTGGTTTTGTTATTCCAAATATACCACAACGATCACTCGACGAGTAGAATATATTAGTCTATTTATTTTTAAAATTTTACTATTGAATCAAGTCCAAATATTTGGTCGAAATTGATATAAAAATCACTTTTTTCCCATGTTTTATAGTCTACGATTTTGTTCTAGGTAAGTTCTGGTCGAGTTCTACAATTCTAGTGGTAAGCGTAGCAAAAGTTCCAAATGTCCAATAGATAATACAAACTTATCAGCGAATTAGCCATTGTTTGTCTACCATTATTTCGGCGCCGTTTTTTCACAAATTCATTTTCAATCACGTATTCTCACAATAAAATATTTTAGATTTTAATTCAAAACTTTTTTTTCTATTTTTTAACCAAACATTTTCCAAAAATTACTATTCTGAAACTCATTTTCCTACTTTAGTGATAGACAAACAGGGGCTAAATAAATATCATATTTATGACAATTACAATGACCACTCTCTGATTTTAAAATTATGAAAAATCTCTCTCACAATTTTTAGTTTCGATGATGGCCTAAACATTTTAATCAAAATCAAATCTCCCGAACCGAAACAGAACCGGAATCGAAGGTTCCGGTCCAATTCCCGAAAAAATAAATTAGGAACTGGATACGATAATCGCTAACCTACTGGGTTCAGTTTGGTTCTTGGATTCTAAACCAGAACCGTAGGTACTTGAATGGAACCAATTTTAAAAAATAAATAAATTATTTACAATTTATAGGCCAAAAAAAGCATATAAAACCTAAAAATCCTAATTTTAGTAATAATTAGTCTAAAACTTTAAATTCTAACCCTATAAAAAAGATTGACTCTTACTTTTTCACATCTTGCCTTACATCAGATTTTTGCATTTCAGATATTATTATATGTTAATTTTTACAATTTGAGTTTTTATAAATCAAAAATTTCAAGCAGATTGTGGTGTAAGTTGATAAATTTCATGTTTGTCACTTTCTTGTATTGTTAATAAACTTAAGTGATTTTTTAGTTTTTCATAATGCACGGCAATTGAATGTGATATATTCAATGCTTGTGTTGTGTTGTACTTTTTTGTTATCTTAAGTTCGTGGTTCTCTTTATATATATATATATTATTCAAACAAAGTGAATTCAATATGGACCGCAATTTTTTGATACTATATTAGTTATGGATTTAATTATTTTTTTTATATATCAATTCGTTTTGAAAGTAAAAGAATTTAAGCATTGTTCATAATTAAATTATATGCCTAGTATGTCTCTTTTATAGATCGAATAAGATTTATTAAGAAAAATAATTTTTCTCAAATTATAATTTCATTTTTTATCTTTATTTCATTTTCTCCTATTTTCGTGGCTTTTTAAATCCAATATATTGCTCCTTGAATTTTTTTTTAACTGAATTTTCTCCATTGCACAAATATTTTCGAATAGCAGTGTATTAGGTATGTGTACCAAAAAAGTTTACGTAAAATATTTATTAAATAAATGTATATAAAAATGCTATGGGTAGAATCAAAATCAAATCAGAACAGACGATTGGGTTTGGATTTGGTTTTAGCATTGACAACAACCCAAATGGTTCTATTTGTGAAATACTCGAAGCATAATCTATGGTTCTGAATATTAAAATACTCGAACTGACCCACCCGATGTCTAGGCACTCATTTCTCCTTGTCACAACAGAAGATTTTTAAAATTACAATGACCTCATTTTCTTCTCCATACACCATTTTAAATTTTTTTTCGTATTCGTACATAATTTGTTTCTCTTTCTTAGCATTTATTACGATTTTTGTTATACTTTTAATGTAGCCCTGTCTTAAAATTATTTTTTTGATTACGTTTTAACCATAAATTCTCCAAAACAATTTGATGGTATCACTTTAGCTAATAAAAAAAAAATTATAAATATAATTATATAATTTTAAAAATTACCAATGTGATTATTTTTCTCGCAAATATGATTGACAAGTACTTAACAAGAATCAATATAAATAATGTTTTAGAATAATTTAATAAAGGTAATTGAAACTTCATCAAGTATTTTACGTTACAGCATTTTCTCTACTTTTTATAATCTTGACTTTTAGACTATACTAATTTAAGTTGTATATGCATTGCACGTTATTTTAAAATACTTTATAAGTACCGTAAAAGTAATATTGGATACTAATTTGTTGTGAGGATTTGACGAGTTTTAAACGAACTAAAGAAAATAAAAGGGTAATTAGCATAAAACATCCCTACCTTTAGATGTTTTTGTGGAAAACGTCCCTACCTTTCATTTTTTGGCGGATTACACCCTTACCTTTACCTTTTTTTGCGCAAAACGTCCTTCTGTCAACTCTCCGTTAAAATGCTCCGTTAAATCAAAAAGGTAATTAGCACAAAAGGTCCCTACCTTTCAAATTTATTGTGTAAAATGTCCCTACCTTTTATTTTTTAGCATAATTAGCAGAAAAGGTCCCTACCTTTCAATATTATTGTGCAAAACGTCCCTACCTTTCATTTTTAGCATTTTTACCCCTACATTTCACCTTTCATTGCGCAAAAGGTCATTTTCATCTATTTTTTAATAAAAAGACGATTTTACCCTCCTATTGAAATAAAATAAAAAGAAAAGAAAAAAATAATTAATTAATTGCAATCATAGTTCTAAATCTTTCAAAACATTACAGATAAATCATAAATTCTCAACCACCACCATTTTCACAACATATCAAGCTGCCAACTATAAATCCACATAATACCACCTTTCGGCCATTATGCCCACCGGACTCCACCACCGTAAATATGGTTGTTTCGGACAGATTGGTGATCAATACTATGGAGGAGGATATTGGGGAGAGTGAGGCGACACTGGTGGTGGTGGAGTCCGATAGGTGTTATGGTCGAAAAGTGGTGCTATATGGATCTATAGGTGGTGGCTTGGTGGGGTTGTGAAAGTGGCGGTAGTGGAGAATTTAGGATTTATCTGTAATGTTTTGAAAGATTTAGAACTATGATTGCAATTAATTAATAAATTTTTTCTTTTCTTTTTGTTTTATTTCAATAGGAGGGTAAAATCGTCATTTTATTGAAAAAATGGATGAAAATGACCTTTTGTGCAATGAAATGTGAAATGTAGGGCTAAAAATGCTAAAAATGAAAGGTAAGGACGTTTTGCACAATAATATTGAAAGGTAGGGACCTTTTTTGCTAATTATGCTAAAAAATGAAAGGTAGGGACGTTTTGCACAATAACTTTGAAAGGTAGGGACCTTTTGTGCTAATTACCTTTTTTGATTTAACGGAGTATTTTAACGGAGAGTTGATAGAAGGACGTTTTGCGCAAAAAAAAGTAAAGATAAGGGTGTAATCCGCCAAAAAATGAAAGTTAGGGATGTTTTTCACAAAAACATCGAAAAGTAGGGATGTTTTGTGCTAATTACCCAAAATAAAATTTAGAATAAAAATTTAAGATAAAAAAATTGTACTTTCAAAATTTAAATTCTATGATCAATTTTTTGTGATAATAAAAATACTACAGATGAACAATATTTTTCTACTATATTTGATACATAAAAATTATTTGCTAATACATTAATTTAAACACCCATTAAAATTTATAAATACATGATCAAAAACCAAATCATCCATAATAACTCTAGATACATGTAGATCAAGATTCATCAAGTTAAAATTTATTGAGTCTAAATTAATGTGAATGTTAATTAATTAAGAATCAAATAACATGAATTTTATAGTATTTATTACATATTGAAAAACGAAAAGGTATTATTAAATTAATTAAATTGTAGTAAGGTTAAAATTGTCCAAAACATTATTCTTACTTGATGTAATATTTAATATATTATAGATATAGATTAATACTGGAAAGTTCAAGTAATATTATCTCAACATTAAGCCCTTGTTTGGCCCTAATAGTTTCCTCCCAAACTCATTTCTAATCACACATTTCATAGAATCAACAACATTTATCAATTTTTTAACCATATATTTCATCAACTTTCATCAAAATTTATTAAAAATCCAATTTTTATCCAAACCAAACAGGGCCTAAATACTTCATAATGGGGAAAAAATAAATTGGTATCAAAAGTTTATAGCTTTGATATCTTGTTAGTTCATTTTTCTAATAAATAAGTTTGATCAATTTTAATTTGTTCGTTTTTATTGAAAAATCAAAATTCACAAAAATATGATAAAAGATAAAATCGCTCCTTACAAATGATAAAAACATACTTTTTAGGGGAAAAACAAATAAGAACAAATATAATCATACATACATAAAGAGAGAGGGGCGAACTCGAAAATTATGCTGGAAGGTTTCTGAAAATTTTAAAATGGAAGGACAGTCTTGTCCCAATCCTCATGGAATTCTTTCTAATTTAGTCAAAACTCATACACGTCTGTGTGCTACATATAACAAAATGTATAGCTTGTATATTTTTGACAGTTTCATCTTAAAGTTTCCTGCTTTCAGCAGAATCCATCATCCAATGCGCATTTAAAACATACAGAGAAAAGGAGAAAAAAATGTTGATTTTATGTTTATTGTCCCCCCAAAAAAGAAAAATGAATATCAAAAAATAATATATGATAAATCTTGTACCATATTGTTTCATTGACATATCAAGGGCTGCAGAGATTCTTAAGGTCCTCTACCTGAGCATACCAGTTCGGTATTATCTTTGAAAGGTGGGGGTATAAATCCTTGTAAGAATTTCTGATGGTCCCTTCGGCAACTCCAGTAGCAAGGGATACGTCTACAAAAATTTACTATATTTAAGAACGATATAATGCAAAAATAAAGAAAGAAAGAAAAATTGCAAAGAACAAGTAATATTGCAAGTCTTTAACATGGCTATGTAATGATTTGGAAACAACATAATTTGTAAAAATTGGCAAATACAGATCGTTTGTCTCTCAATCAGCAGTGCAACTTACCTTTGAGGGGCTTTTTATCGTCAGAAAGCTGAGTAACTATATAAATAACTGCTGCAGCAATTGATATAGGACTTCTCCTGAGATGAAAAACGAATAGAATTGTTAGCAACAGGACCTTAGGTGTCAACACAAAAATTTGTAATTTCAGAAGCTTTAGATGGGCATGAGAAATTGGCATCCAAGGAGTCAAACTGAAGGATCACACCGAGAGAGAGGTCATCATAGTTCTAATTCCATCCCCTGAATAATGCTTCACAACAACAATTTGTATTATTTCCAATAAATTTGGGACGACTAAATGACTCCTCGCTCGCCACTGCACTCAGTCCATCACTACGTCTAATGAAAGATCTAGTGCAACCAGATCCTTCAAAACCACAATAGACAACATTTGGTCTACGTTCCAACATTTTGTAAGTACTTGTTCTCTTAATTTATACTAGATTATGGACACCTCCACTTGTTTCCATTTATTCTTATTATCATACCCATCCCAGTATTGATAGGCATCCATCTTTATATCATTTTAGTTCCATTCATCATATGGACATTTTGTGTGCTTTAACAGCCCAATTTTCAGTACCAAACATAGTACCGATGACATTTGATTTCAATGACAAGTTAATATTTTTATACATCCTTCAGGAACTAGTCTTATTACCAAGTATATGTGTCTCCACTCGCATAATATATATCTTTATTTTACTCGATAATGCCCGAATATTTCCTAAGTTAGTGGAGGTAAAAAATTAATAGGACCAACCTACCTTATGTCGAACTCCTCTGATTTTTGGACAGCTTCTTGGGCAGCTTTAACTGTCTGATTTGTCATCCCAAGATTTGAACAAAACCGCCTCTGGGAAATTAAATGGAGCAACAACAGCATAGTCATAGAGGTAATAAGATGCTGCCAATTAATTCCTCTAATTTTCCCTCCATCTTTTGGAGAAAAAGGGCAGTGGGTTTTGTTTCAAAGAAAACTCACCATAAAATCCCCAGCATGTATAGTCCCTATTTCCACCGATTGACCCATTTCAAGCTCAAGTTGTTTTATAATGTATTCTTTTGCTCGGCCAATTTCCTTCTTTGTTGCTCCATTGGCAACAGAGCAAATTTCTACGAAATACAGATTCAGGAGAGCTCATTCACATAGATAAATCAGGAAGCATCTGAATAATAAAATCTTAGGTTGTACCCTTAACAGTGCGAGGCTTGTCTTCTTGTCGACAAGCAATGTACAGGCAAGCAGCTAATATAGCATCCTGGTTTCTTCCTCGACTAGACTTCTGATCTTCTACTTTCTTGTAAATCTCATTAGCCCGATCCTACAAAGCAAATTGAAAGCTCCATCAGGAAAAGACGGAATAACCTAGAAAACCAAAAGTAGAGAGCAAATGAGTAGAAATTCATTAACCCTTTATGGTTTTAAAATAGACTGAAAGGGCCAAATGACAAGACGCATCACTTCTATGCAACAATTCAAGTATTAGTAAAAACGGAACCATACATTTTCAGCCTCGAATTCTGGAGATGAAAGACCACAAGTCAGAATAAAAATAGGGAGATGAAAGTGTGTCCTATCAAAAAAGGGTCAAGAAGAACAAATGATATGACCAAAATTTCTTCCATCAAAAATAACTTTCTCACTATTGACAGGAATTGTAGCATCAAGTCTATGACTAGAACTTATCATAAATGAAAACTTTTTGTTCACCAAAGTTGGCAACAGTTCTGTTCTACAAGTGCTCAAACACAGCAATTAATGAATCCTTTCAAATTTTAGCACTTCTTCATTTGACATGATGGTATAAAACCTTGCACTTAGAGAAAAGTAATCTAGCAAAGTACTGTATAATAGCTAACTAACTTCACCCCTGTGATAAACCAACCACAAGTCCATGTAAAACTACCACAACCTCAATGGGGGATAACATTTTTGCATAAGTCCAAGTCACGTCAAGTATTCTTCACGCAGACCCTACAGAGTATTGCTATATACTTCTCAGTCCATAAAATTTTTACACTTTCCAAAAATAAGAAATTGAGTAAATGGACGAAGAAAACTGAAAAGCTGTAACACCCAACTCAAAAATGTGCAAAACTAGACTCTCATGCCTCTCTCCATGGAGGAATAGAAAAATAACACCTACTTTTAGCATATGGATACAATTAATCTCCCAAAAAATAAATTACATCAAGTTAATCAGGTTGGAAATATTGGTCTCATTAAAACAACCTATAATAGAATTATTATGCTCGGATAGGCAATGGTAGGTAAATAAGATACCTTTATTGTTGCAACAAGGCCCAACCTGAAAGAAAATTGGGTGCATCAGACAACGGTGTTGCCATTTTAAATGTCAAGATATAAGGAAAAGAAGCAAGCTAGTAAACATACGTATAGAAGGTTGTAACACAGCAAGACACATCCAAGCACAGTGGAAGATTTTGAATTATATTGTAAATATTTTAAGGGGAAATAGATCGAGTCCAAACATCCCAAAAATCCTTGACTACATTCAAGTTAAATAACTGTTTTCTAATTGATTTTCAAGTTAGGTATGACCAAGGTTGTGAAAGTTCAACTTATTTTCGAATACAGCAAGATAAAATGAAAAGCGTTATCTCATGCCAAAGGCAACCCACACTTTATGTAACTTCTCAACCAAAGAAAGAAAGCATATAGTTAATACACCATTAACAACGATAACAAACTCCAACAGGTTCTAATAGATTAATGACGGGCAGCTTAACAGAAACTACTGTTCCTTTAATAATCAATGATATTCATCCGTGTCAAGGGCACAACCGTACAAGGCATAGACATTGACATCTTTGTGCATGAATTAATTCGAACACTTTCCAGATTTCTATTTAGCAGACTTAAAGATCATAACTTTACAATACACACAGGTAATGATGTAAAATTGGCAAATAGTTCAATAATGCAGAAAAATCATTTATCGTCATAGGTCTTATGATTGATTTTTGTATTATATCAACAGCAGAAAAGCTTAAAACTGTAGACCAAACCAATAGACAAAAAATTGAGCAAGTAAAGGAAAATTATTCAGAATCCAACTGCAGAAACCCCTGGCTTGACTGAAACAGAAGACACAAGGCGATAGAAACTGTTAAAAGATAATATCAAAATCAAATAGATAAATAAAAAAATCTTTATCTCTTTTTCTAAAATGCAAGCCACAAAAATCCACTCATGTGTTCATTAAACCACCACTTAATAGAGGATTCAAAAACACAGAACTAGAAAGAAAAGAACAAAATTTTCATCACACTAAACACGGATCAATAATACCAAATCTAACAAGAGAAATAAAGAAACCGCAATCAAAACTGCACCTTTTTCATCCAAAATCAAACTCCCATCATCTACAAGACCAAATATCTTAACAAAAATCAAAATTAACTTCAAAATGAATAACCGGTACCTATCCGACATTGTGGCGATCGTTTTGAACGCAAGGATAAGCGACCGATCAGGGTTGGACCCACGATTCTGCCAGCGACCGAGAGACGACGACAAAAAGTCACTGGTGGTCCCATTCGGCTGAGAAATCACGGTCGACAACCCTCCATCTGAGAGAAGCGGGTTCGTCGGGCCACCAACACGGACCGGGTCATTGTCCCCCGACTCATTAGCGAAGGTACGCCACTCGGAAGTCTCATCAATGGAGTGTGACTCCAACACCAGACCGCACTCGGAGCACACTGTATCCCCCGCCGAATGGTCGAACACCACCTCCGTACTCTTCTTGCAGTCGGAACAATACGCATCCCCCATGTCGAAATTAAATTTGAACTGAAAATTAATGGTAAATGCTACAAATCTAGGATTCGAAAATGGTGCAAGATCGAAAAAGGGATGGGATTTTGTTTTGTTTTTCTGTTAGGATAGTCATGGGAGTTTCATGCTTGGGATGAACTTGTCCACAGGCCTTGTTTGGATGTTATTCCCTACAATATTGTAACTTACTTTAAGTAAAAAGATATTTGTTCTTCATAATTGATCAGAGCAATTAGTGCATTATTAACATTTTGACCTCCAATCGACCATTATTTGCGCAAATGGTTCTTTCAATTCCTCTATTTATTTTGTTAAATAGACACGTGCTTTGTACATGACATGAAAAACATAATCTTGGCCCTCAAATTTTATCAAATTTTAAATATATGAAAAATAAAATTTTAAAAAGAAGGGCAAAATAAATAAAGTAAAAACAGAAAAGGGGAAAGGAAAAAAAAGGTCCGAATCCAATATTATTTGCTTTCTTAAAAATGTTGAACCCCAACCTTAAGAGCCCCACTGTCCTACCCCTAGAGCATCGTGAGAGAGCTTAATTGTGGAATGTGTCATAACAAGTCAGAGAATAAGAGCTGTCTGTACACTGATACCCACAAAGAGTCTCAATCCATGTTTCAAGAATCGAATCATCACACTGCGACTGTCAGTAAAACTGAAATTACCTCACTCTTGTCCTTTGCACCATTGGGATATGTCCCGGGAATCAATATGTAAGGACTAGCAAAATCTGGAATTGTATAATCTTGATGCATACTAGCAGGGAAAGACAAGCCCAACAGTTTTGACATGTAAAAACAGAAACCAATCTACAGCAAAAATAAAAAATAAAAAATAAAAATAATAATAATAATAATAATAATAATAAAATAAAACACACACACATACAGACGAAAGATACATAGATTACATGGTAGTAGGTTGCACTACATAAGATAATAATGTTTCTATCTTTCTTATGATTTTCAATATGGTCTAGTCAACCAACCAAACATGCTGAGAATACCCATGATTTTCATGGAAGAATCAGTCGTCTTGTGTGTGATACCAAAATCTCAAAAAATATTGACTTGGAAGATAATTGTTTTATCCAACACCAGCATGTGGCCGGTCCCGAGAAGGAAGGTCATGGGAGGACAGGAAGTTCCACTTTGGTGAATGAAAAGAAACTGATACGCCCATGCTCGACATTACAAAACTTTATACAATGGCCTTTGTAACGTGTCTCAAGGTCCTCAGTCGCTTGTTTGGATGGTGGGTGGTCACTACATGAGAAACAATGTCATCAAATAATAGCTTCAGTAGACTAATATAGGCTGCGGCTAAACCAAACAAGAAAAACTGACTATTATGAAATGTCCAATTATGTGGTTGATTATTATGATAATGTTCCAAAAATTCAAATTAATTATAATTGCAGAGCATGTTGTTTCTATATTTAGATTTCATTAAAACATAACGGAAGATAGATGGGAGGAAAAATATTAGTCACAAGCAAAATTCAGGTTCAGGAAAAAAAAAGTATTACATAGTTGACTCAATTTAACAATTAAAATCAGTAAAACCATATCCATTTAGAGATGTCAAGACAGTAGTTACCCAGTAATGCATAGGAGAAAACACGCACTGCCAGGCGAAGACTTCTTAAACTTGCTATTAGGCTGGTACACATCGAAAATTGGTCTCACTTCACTAAACTGCAAGTTATTGAGCGTTTCAGTAATGATAATGTCATGTCTTGACCCAGTACAACTTGTCCCATCAGGTTCAGATGCACCATTTTCAGCAATGGAATTAATTTTAGTACTCTTAGAAGTCCAAGGGATACCATGCCGGCCAACAACGTAACCAAGAGATTTTAAGTGGCGATAAACTTCAAAAGACTCCCAGGAGCATCCATATCCATCTGTACCTTTTGCAACCTTTTCATATAAATCTTTTAAGGAAAGGTGTGTATCATCGCCATTCAAGATATGCAAAGCTCCAATTTCAGCCAAAAACCTACAAAAGCAGCCTAAGGTATTAGACTACTACTATGAGAAGCATATATTGATTATGTTGATGAAGGATGGAGGTGGGGTCAAAAAATAGTGAGGCCAACTGATCCCACTGAAAAATAAAACATGCTTAAATACGTCTATTAATTTGTGTATGTCTTTTTATATAATAATTACAAGCTGTTAAAGGTTTCTATGAAGATAATCCAAAGAACTTAATCTTTTACTAGTTCATTAGATATGATATTATAAAATTTCCATTCACACTGAATTATAATATTACAAATTTGGACGACTGCTGACTTTGCATTTTCATATCTATCATAATCACATCTTTAAAAGGTATGAAAGCTTCGCACCAAAATCAGTTCCCTTAATCTCCAAAATCTCCAAGATGGGAGCTTTATGGTATTAGCAATTTCAATCATTAGAACAGGAGGCGTCATCAAGGTAAGAAAATTTTATTTAGATACCAAGATTGACTAAAGTGCATTAGAAGTTCACAACATTCACCCAGTAAACTACTGTTTCATTGCTAATAAAACCCCTAAATAACACCAACAATTTTAAAGTTACAATCACCATTTTGATCATCTCATATCTCAATTCAGTAGCACATAAATTTTGAAGGTCCATCTTTGTGCATACACAGTTTGACATATAATGCACCACATCGAATTCAATAATATTTCTATTGCAAAAAATCTAGCACTTTAATGCTAAACAATGATGGAACACATGATCCTTCCTCTTGTTATATCCTAGTTTCTCTACCTAGTGGTTCATGAACAAGTGTGCAAAGAGAGAGAGATGTACAAAAATTGTAAATTTACGGCATTGTAAATAATAATGACAGAAGAGTTTGCATAACCTACAAAGCCTCTTCAATAGAGCAATATATTTTGCCATCACGAACCATCCCAGTTGTGGTCCACATTTTACCCTTTCGCTCCACCACCTCAGCCATTCCCAACTCCTCAATCCACCATGCCTTCGACACATCTTTCCTTCACAAAACAAAAATAATAATAATAATATAAATAAATAAATAATATACACACATACACATTTCGATACAACACATCCATAAAAATGAAAACAAGTACAAAATGATTCCTCTCGTTTAACAATTTTACCTGAATTGCAACTTGGGGATGTCACCAGAGGAATAGCAAAGTTCATCATCAACTAGGTCCTCCACATAACCCTCAGAATCACTATCACAATCATTTCTTTCTTCAGAAATCCTCAATCTCTCTTTCTCATCCTCTTCCATTGCTCCAATTTAATGCAATTCGGAATCACTATAAACAACACGGACAAAAAATTGAAACTTGAGTTAAAATTGCGTGAACATTTTAAAGATAGTGTACAATTGAACAAATACTCAGTAAAAGAGTTGCATCTCTGCAGAATCAACGTTTATTCTAGTTCAGGTACTGAATCAAACACCTAGCATCCTATGTCGAAATCACATCATTCACCACAATCAGATAGAGTGCGAAATCAACATATAAGGCCTGATTTTACACAAAGAAATATGATATTACCTTCCAAGTTTGTTAAAGAAGAAGATGACTCGTCCTCGTAGAAATCACTGAACACAAGATAAAATTGGTCCTTTTCCCCTCTCCGCAGATAAAATTGTTGTCAATTTGTACATAGTCCTCACTCTTAGCAGTTAAGTTCCTGATTGTTCGAGTTAAATTTTAGAACAGTCACTGAACTTTGCAATTTGTCATTGATTTTGAATTTTAGTTATGCTTTGTGTAGGAGGTTGATAAAGAAGGTTGGGAGTTGGCAAGATCTATATCGGGGGGCCGGCCGTGGGGCGGGGGCGTAAGCCTTCCGATTTTATCGATTTTTTTTACAGATTTTTGAACCAAATCGTTTAAATTTATATAAGAAAATCTCAAGCCTAAATCAAATTATTTTGAACGGTTTGAAAAAAAAACTCAGATCTAAACCTAACGATTTGGTTCAATTTTGCCATATATTTTTTTTGCTGTCTATTTTTATATCATTAATTTATTGAATTCAATATATATTTATATATTAATAGCAATATATCTAAAACAAACTAAACTCTTGTTTGAACCAAATTTTTGGGACAAAAAAAGTGAAAATTTGGACCGTTATCTCACAAGTCCTGTCGCCTTTGTTGACCTGCTGTTTTATGTGTGGGACCCAACTTCTTCTCCAATGATCAATTTTCTCATTATGATGATATAGAAAATATAGCTCAAACAAGGCTAAATATATCTTCTATAAATTTAAATATCAACTAAATTAAAGTGAAATCACAATAAACTAAAACATAATTTTTTTCATTTTTGTGTACCATTTTTAGGTTAATGACAATACAATAACATTACAGTACAAATCTACTAAACTAGATATAAAACCCAAAAAACATAATGATGTCCAACAAGACCTCATGATCATCATATCTGAAAACAGGATATTGATTGGATAAAGAAAATAATCAATCACAATAATAAAACAATTGTTTATAATAGCTAAACATAACAATTACATAAGTTTACGTTTGTATGATGTTATGAAACGCATTTAATTTCAGATTCTTACCTTAGTTTGCTCCAAAAAAATTATTGATTTGAAACTTTAATCGTAGCAAATATTATCACCGAAAGTCTAAGATCTTTTTGTCTCCGATTTGACATAACGGACTTCAATACAACTTTGAAAAAGGCATGAAAAATCTGAAAAAGAAGTGTGTAGTGCTGGTGGCTCAAGATTGTGTTGGATGTCGGCTGAAATTCATCTAAATTCTGAAAAGGAAAAGAATTTTTGATATATTATACTAGTGTTGAGATTATTATATGTAAATTAGGATTATTGGATAATAATAATATATCTATATTAGAAAATTAGAAATTGACAAAAATACCAACAAATGACAAAATTATTGAATTTTACATATTTGGATGAATTTTCAAAAAAATTCATTTTTTCATTTTTTTTACTTTTATATATTTTTCGCCAGTCCGATTTGATTTTAAACCGCAATTGAAATTCTCAAGCCGAAATCAAACCATTTTGATCAGTTACGTTTGGTTCAAAATTATTTCATTAACCGGGTCCATGTGACACCAAATCGACAGTTTCTAAAATGTGGTTTTGATTCGATTTTTCGATTTGACAATTTTTGCTTACAGCCTTAATCTATATCACTCAATGGGTTGACAACTTAATGGGTTGTGTTTAGCTGGGCTGGGCAATCCACGTGTGCAAGTGGTGGGTGATTTATCAGCTACATAGATTTTCCATCTTCCACATAGACAGAACCAAAGACGGAATTCATCTCGTTAATGATGGAGTGCAACACATCTAAATTAGTGGTCATTGGGCAGATTTTTGAAGTTAGATGAGTAAGTCATGACAAAGTTCAAATTTCAATGATTGTTAGGTTAATTCCACCAATGAACATTCAATTCGATTTTGTTTCATCATGACAACCCAACTTTATACTTAATATCACCATAATCATCCAATTTAATTTTATTTCACCGTAATTTCTCAATTTCATATAACATTTCATCATGACCATCCAATTTCTTTTTATCTTTTTCACTAATTTTAAAAGGGAAAAATGATAACTTTGCATTATATATATAAAATAAAATAAAATATAAAATAAATATAAAAGTTTTTTTCTTAATTTTAAAAATTATTTTTAAAATAAGTTTTTATTTTATTTTATTTTTCTAAGTAACATTTTTTTTAAAAATAAGTTTTTATTTTATTTTTTTAAATAGTTTTTATTTTATTTTTGTTTTTTAAAATTTATTTTATATATAATGCAAAGATGCCATTTTAAAATTAGTGAAAATGGTGAAAAAAATTTGAATGACTATGATGAAAGATTATATAAAATTAAGTGGTCATGATGAAATATTATATAAAATTGGTGTTATCAAATTTATTTCCGCAAGTGTACGGATCGTAATAAATAGTAAGTGTGCATAAGAGTTCGGATTGTCGATCTCATGATAACTATATTCTAGCACTTAGTTTAATTTTTCTTTAACCACTATTTGATGAAAACGGATAAAAACTTTTAGGATTTGAGTTTTAGTCTAAATACAAGAAAATAAGTGGATGCACACACGATTGGTTTAGAAATTAAATAATGACGGATGTTAGAGTTATGGATCACATTTACATTCTAAATCAAGATTCTTATCAAATGTAGTGTTCGATCGAATTCTCCTATTGTACTCAATTTATTCCTTTCGAGTTTTCATTGAGCCTATTTAACTAGTTCAATTTCATATCTCTAAGCAAATCTAGCTGAGTTAAACGAGTTTATTTTCCTAGAAATTCAATTATGACTGCAATAATTAGTATAGATACTTCTACTTGTTATAATAATTTATCAGATTTTATTATATGGTTTAAATCCTAAACTCATATCTGAAATCATAAATAGGGGTGTCAATGAGTCGAGCAAAAACTCTTGACTCGAGCTCGGTTTGAGCTTTTGAAGGCGGGCTTTTTTTGGCCCGAGCAGATGAGGCTCAACCATTACCAAGCCGAGTGGAGCCAGCTCAATTTTCTAAAATTTTTTAAAAAAAATTCCCTTCTTAGCTGCCAAACAGGCAACTTATTAAGGCAGTTTAGCTGCCTCTCTGTCAATTAGCAGCAGATTTCACTTTTTTTTATAATTGGACGGACCAGCCCGCCTCAATTTCCATTCTTACGTTCGTCAATCGCCAATTTGCTTCCATGTTGATCGTTAGGCACCAAAATCATTTAACATTGTGGTTGATTTCTGATCTCGATTATCATGTCTTCATTTGTAGTTGATTACTATCAATATTTAATTCAATTTGTTTGTGAAAATTAAAATGAGAAGTCAACCATTAGATCAACAGATTGTTCAATATAACCCTTGTGTCCTTGAAATTTTCTACACAATCTTATCTTCATTGAGCCGAAATCCGACCTGGGAATTGGTAAACTAGCTATTTAATTGTCATTTATCTAAATGAACGAAACAAGACATTGATCAACATAGAATAAATTAAACAATAAAAATCGATCGATCCAACAACTCAAAAATTTTATTTGTGCTCCTCTTGCTAAATATTGTATAAAAATTTGGAAAATATATTTTTACCAAACAAACCGTCTCATTTTAAACTACACGGTCTTCTATTTTCCAATTCTTTTCGTGATCTTCTCTTTTCTTTAGCCTTCGAACTAGAATTGTTCCATGTATATTCGATAAGAAGTATAGTAGCGTTTTGCGAAATGTAAATGTGGCCTAAAATTGCAACACTGTTTGTAAACAGTTGGCATGGAAAATGGAAAATGAAGGTAAAAAATTTAAAGCACTTTTGGTTTGCCATTTTCCGACCGTTTTATGGTTTTAGTTTTCGAAAATTATCCAAAACGTATTTGATCACTCGTTTCCAAAAATGCATTTTCAAAAACAAGGAGAAATTTAATATTCAGAACCCAAAACAATTTTTTTTTTTTTTTTAAACGCTCAAAACACACCCTATTTTTTTACCCAATGGATGCTCAGCAATACTTTTAAAATAATAAATTCACCAAATTATATATATATATATATATATATATATATATATATATATATATATA